GAGCTCCTTCTGCAGGACCGGGAGAAGTCGCGCACTTTCAATGGGGTAGCTTTGGAAAATGTTTCAAAAGGTGGGGTCTGAAGACGGGAGTCTGAGACTCCCTAGAGTAAGAGACGTGGGAGTGAAGAGGACCAGCCGTCCGCGGCCAGCCCGACCCTGCGCTGCTCCCAGCGTGGGGAGAAACAAAATGCCACCTAGAATTCCGAAGACCGCAGACGGCAGGAACCGGCCCTTTGCTAGTTAGCGTAAGGACAGTTCACCTAAATCGGGGGAAACCGTCCCAGTAGAACGTTCCCAGGCAGGCACCGCACCGGGGAAGACAGACCAAGACAAAGTTAAGGTGGCCTCCCGAGTGGGCGGCCTCAGAGCTCTTCCCCAGAACATCTGGAACCTCCGCGTGCAGAACCTGGCGCCTTATACCTTCCCACCCCGCGGAACGGCAAAAGCAGCCGGTGTATGCTTAGTCGGAATATGTCGTTTTCCCGGTTTGTTCCATGCCACAGAATCGCCCCACCCTGTCTGGGTGGGCACTGGGAGGGAACTTCCTTAGCACTTTCGGAGGTGGAGTTAATGAGACGCAGCTGGTATGATGGAAAATGCACCCGGCCTGGCTAGGAAACCTGGGACTTAGGCCCTGCCCTGCTGGTGACATGGGATAACAGAGGAATACCCAGCCCTGAGATTTTGGTTTCTGTAGCTGTAAAATTAAAGGGCTGCCTACATTTCTGCGGTCCTTTGCATTGCTACAAACATGTCTTTGGAGTCTGTTAATCACCAGGACCCAAGCCCATTCCTTTTCCAACCTTACTTAGGTTGAAAGGGGCATTGAAGTTGTAAAAGAAGACATTGTCCCAAGTTACTTCAATGTCTCTCTGACAACTCAGACGAAAATTCGATTCCTCTTAGGGAACTGGAAACCAAAACAAAGTGGGCCCACTGTGAAATTCAGGCTAGAGGGACCAGCAGTTAGCGTAATGGCTATGTTGTTGAATTGACGTAGTCAACCGCGGTTCGAGTCCCGGACCCAGTGGCTTAAAACATGCTGGGCGTGTATGCATGCGTGCATGCCCAAGATCCCGAAAGGAGAATGGAGGAGAAGGGATTGCAGCGTGGCCATCCCCCCAGGGGGTGATTTCTCGCTTTCTGTCTCTGTCTCTGTCTGTCTGTCTGGCAAGCGCACGTGCCCCCATAGCAAAAACCTCTCAAAAAAGAAAAGAAAGAACTTCAGGCTAGAGAGGACACCAAGTACAATGCAAAACGGATGGAAGGAAAAGACCAGAGGAAATCAGTATCTCAAGTTTTCAAGGAAATGGATGGCTGCATGGATTTGCTAGATTTTTAGAGAAATTATTAGCGAGTGCCTTGATGTATTCCAGGCAGTGTGGAAAGCATTCTGTAATACATGTACCTGCATTATTACGTCCATTTCCTAGATCAGGAATTGAGGCATGAAGAAAGTACTTATCTCAGGCCAGCCAGGTTGCATAGTGGTTAGGGGAGCTGGATCCCACATGGCTGACTGCTGAGTTTGAGTCCAGAACCTGGTAGCTTGAAAAACACACCAAGCACAGGCATGGTTTATACTCAAAATCCTGAGAGAAGAATAGAGAAGGGATTCAGTGTGGTGAACCCCCTCCCCAGGGAGAGGTGCTTTCTCACCCTCACTCTCTGTGTGGCTCTCCATGGAGCTCAAGTGTCCTATAGCAAATTGTAAATAAATAAATACATACAGAAAAATTTTATACTTTGAATACACAGATATTTCTTCCATTTAAAAAAAAAAAAAAAGTACCTATCTCAACGAGGGTTATACAGCTAGTAAATGCTATAATACTCCCCGGCCTGTGTGGCTCAAAGTTCAAATCTCTTCCTCTCTTTGAAATATTTCTTCCTCTCTGAAATTTGAGCAAAACAGCATCAGGATTAAAGATGATGAAATGCCTCAGGTTCTCTGTGTAAGACTAGGGCTCCTGGGGCCAGCAGATGGCATAATGGTTATGTCGCTGGACACCCATGTAGTCAACCATGGTTTGAGTACCAGACCGACTTGGTGCATAGGCGTGCATGGTGCGTAGGTGTGCATGCCCAAAATCCCAAGAGGAGAATGAAAGAGAAGGGACTGCAATGTAGCCATCCCCCTGGGGAGTGATTTCTCGCTTTCTGTGTCTGTCTCTCTGGCTCTTCAGCGAGTGCACACACCTATAGCACAATCTCTCTCTTACAAAAAGGCTGGGCTCCTGCTTTTTCTCGGGAGATGGGAGGCCTCTTGGTGTTTTGTTTTAGTGGAGATAAGGTAAAGTGAGGGTGATGAAATGCTGAGCACAGCGCATTGAAGTGGTTGCGGTGTAGAAAAAGGATAGGACCTGCAGCAAACTCCAGAATTCTGTTTCTTCCTCTCATCAGCCATGTGACTCGAAGCAAGTCACTTTATTTCTAGGCTGAGTTTATTTTTTCAAGCAGAGTGCGATACAGAAGACAGAGCTTGTTGGATTAGTTCATCTGTGAGGTCTTTCCCAGGTCTGAACTTGCATGAACGCTTACTCCTCCAGACAGACAGCATGCCTATGGAGAAGGCTAAGTGATAAAGCTAGCGTGGTGGGGGAGAGGACCTGCTGGCACATCGCCTTCAGATCCAAATGAATGTTAAGAACCTGGTGAATGTTCTCAGCTGAGTGTTCAATGGTAAGTAAAGCAAAGGTTTGGCACTAACCCTGTAGACTCATGTTTCCTATTTAAATAATTTAAGACCCATGAGCGAGAGACAGAAGAGACAGACAGGGAGACAGTGCTCCCAACAGAGTCTTGACTTAGATCTGCCCCCGCTTTCAGCCAGCCCTGATCACAAGCAAGCATACTTCTAGGGCATTCAGAGAGGTCTTCACACGTGAACGGAGAACCTTCCCATTTTGGATTACTTCCCAGAGCATTTTTACTGGAGTTTTACGTGCTTTTTTTTTTTTTTTTGCTATAGGGTGCTTGCGCTCACCAGACAGACAGAGAGAGACAGAAAGTGAGAAATCATCCCCTGGGGGGATGGCCACACCACAATCCCTTCTCCTCCATTCTCCTCTCAGGATCTTGGGCATGCATGCACACGTGCCCGGCGTGAGTTTAAGCTACCTGGTCCAGGACTCAAACCATGGTCGACTACATGGGAGTCCGGCGACATAGCCATTACGCTAACAGCTGGTCCCTTTACGTGCATGTTTTATTAAAAATAAAAATGGGTGAGAAATGGGAAATGCTGTCCAATGGCTACGAAGTTTTAGTTTGAAGGAATAAGACTTGAGATCTCTAACAGAGCAGGGTGACAGAAGTCAATAATAATATATTTCAAAATAACTTAGTAAATTTCAAATTTCACCACCCAAAAATAAGTGATGTCTGCTATATTAATTAGCTTATGTTAATCACCCAATGCTGTATACATGTATCAAAACATACTACCTCATGAATGTATATAATTATCAATTAAAGTAATAAATACAAAATAAATAAAAAATTTTAAGTGCATTATTAATCTAAAAGTCTATGATGTGCATCTGATCAATCACATTTCTTTTTCTTTAGAATAGATCACAGAAAAGCAATACAAACAATATTTTTAAAGTAAAAAGTACAACTTGGGACCTGTTTGTGGCCTCACAGTTAAAGTGACTGGATCTGACATGGCCACATGAGTCCCTGACCCAGCAGCTTGAAAAACATGCCAGTCACGTATGCCTGTGTGCCCAAAATCCCAAAAGGAAGGTGAGATGGAGGAGAAGGGATTGTGATGTGACCATGTCCCATGGGAGGTGTTTTCATGCCCTCCCATACTCCATGAGTACATGAGCCCTCTGGCAAAAACAAAAACAAAAACTTGAAGTGAAAAAAAAACTATTCATTCTCTGGATAAATATATAAAAGCTAGTCATTTAAAGAAGAAAAAAAGCAAAGGCAATCCACTTTCAAAGTCTCTTTTACTCTCAAGTTTCCTTAAGATGCAGCTGGATGAACAGCTAGGCCCTAAACACATCCCTGCACATTTAATTTAAAGCTTCGCAATTTTAGGAACTTGACAATAGCATATTTCCCAGTGCAGTATTTTGTTTTCTGTGCCTGATACAAACTGTAAATATACATTGCTAAGCAGAATCTCATGAGCTTCTTCGAGTCCTCCCACCAATAGTACATTCCTATCATTAATGTATTTATCTTACTCCTTCAAAGACATTGAAATCACTGAAAGCAGAACAAGGTCCCTAATCAGAGAAAACTAGAAAGTAGGCAGTTCTTGTTAGGAAAACTGGTGATCTCTAGGGGTCTTCTACAAATGTAAAGTTAAACACACTCTTTTTTTTTTTTTTTTTTTTAGATTTTTGCGATAGGGCAATTGTGCTCACAGGAGAGAAACAGAGAGAGAGGGAGGGAGAGTAAAAAATCACCCAACAGAGGGATGACCATACCACAAT